CAGATCAAGTACAGTTTAAGCACTTCATTTATTGGGAGAAGATTAATTTGGTATTCACCAAATATTCCTGCCCCAAACTTTTCAGAATACATGAAGAAATCTCTTCCTGAAGGAACATGAACTGAATCAAACTGGAAGGGTTTAAAGTGTTTCAAAATTTATCTACAAATCTTTTTCTGCAGTTGATGTATCACACACCATCTTGACTTCAAAATCATTAATGAAATTTAGAGCTGAGTTTATGGATAATCAAAAACTAGATATGTATCATTAAAAAACAAGAGAACCAAATTTTGGCACAAACTGAGCATAAAATTTACACTTCTTACATTTGTACTGGGCAGCTTTCTGGGGTAGTAAAAGCTGCAGAGCAGGGGTCATGTGCAGATCTAAGGAGGTATGGGAACACAGAGAGCATTCCTTAAAGTAGATTTATTTGGCACAATTTTAGTTGATGTTTTACAGGTACATTATCATCGCTTGCACTCAGTGACACTTAAAAGATCTAAATAAGCACATACCGTCTTTAAAGTGTGGAGCTGACCTGTTACAAGGCAGCAGCTTGAGGTCATTTGGGCACAGCCTCCTACCCTGTTAACCCAGTGTGGCTTTGGGGCCAGGTTATGTCCTGGCCCACAACCAGAAAGAGTGGGAAGGCGTGGGAGAAACCAGGCCCCACTTCCGCAGAATCACACAGAGCAATGGTCCTTCCATGCTGAGAAGGCCTCACCATCACCCAGGTACTACAAAGTGTAGGACATCATGCTCTTATTTATTTCCCTTTTGTTCCTCTTCAGGCAGATCTATGCCTTCTTTACTCAAAGCTTGTGATGCCCAGAAAGCCACCTGGTCCTTCAAAAACAGTCAAACCCAGACAAATGCTCTCCAAGTGGAGATTTTAGCATTTTTTTTCCCTGAGGAAACACAATATGCAGGGTTTTGTACATGTGCTCGATCACTCCCACTGTCTGCCCCCACACACACCTCAACTTCTGAGATAGTGCCTGCCTTAGAATGTATTTTGTGTAGCTTTCAAATATGTAAAGAGTCTGTACAGGATTTGTGTCCTATTAGTTGGCTAAATAAGAAAGGGATCCCACCACCACCTTCTGAAAGGGAAAGCTGACAAACACCTTTGTTATGATTCAGAAACTCCACTTGGAGAGATACCTGAGAAATCAGCTGGTTTTGCTGCTCCTGAAACAACTTATTAAACCGTAACTTGATCACATAAACTTTGTTAAAGTTAGTAAATGCCTGCCTCTCACAGTGGATATTTGCATCATTATTCCTGTAAACACAGAAACACAAAAACCAAGAGTAAGGCACAGGGGACTTTAATAAGATATTAAGAAATGAGAGAGGTTCCAGCTTTGTTGGTCTGACTCTTCCCTCTTTGAGAGGCCCAGAGGGGAGAACCTGTTGTAAAGAGATAAGGAGAAAGGAACAGCTGGGTGGTTATTTCCCCACCTATTGACAGCACACAAGTGCCAAGCTCCCAAGTGAGACACTCCCCTGCATGCAGCACACATGAGACTAGTTCGCAGCTTTGGGCTACGAACCCAGTGGCTTAGTTCATTTAAGTAATGCTTCTTTGTTTGGGGGGCTGAGGGGGTGTTCCTTTCCTTCAGCAAATGCTTCCAAAATAACATACCTTGCTTCCAAAAGGATGTCTGAAAGGAAAAACATGTCCAGCAAATAATTCCACCATCAACCCACGAACAGACACTATCTCTCAGGTGCCCACCTACTTCTCTCTTCAAAAAACTACATTGGAATTTCCTTTAGTGCCCGAAGAAGGAAAATCTATGTTGACCCCTAGAAGGTAAAATCATTTGCAGACCTGTGGTTCCCCAGCTCCCTGTTTGCCCTCCTCATACCTGAGCAAGTTAACTTGACCTTGCAAAGTGATCCCATGTGCTCTGCTACATCATTGGCATTTTAACACATGCCAAGCACTGAGAGGATTTCACAAGACCCCAAGGGAATTTGGGACACCGGGGGACAATTCATGTATCTTTTCTTTGCCACAAGAAGAAAAGGGAAATTAAATAATTGAAGAACCTTGTTGAATCACTCCTGTCCCTCTTTTGTTCTGATCCTGCTTCCATCTCCTGTGTATTTCCTGCTCATGCTTGAGTAATATCAGAGTTCCTCTTTCACCCACACAGATCTCTTGCCTCTTTTTCCCAGTTTCTTGCTCACTGGGATGCATCATTCTTGATCCTGGGGGAAGTGATTCTTGAATATCAACCAGCTCTCTTTGGCCACTCTTCCCTGAAGGGCCTGTTCCCATGGGATTGCTACACGAAGATCCCTGAAGAGGCTAAAGTCGGCTCTCCCGAAATGGTTACCATCTTACTTGCTGCCCTGCTTCCTCCTCTCCTGATACTGAACTCCACAGTCTCATGGTCACTGCAGCCAAGGCTGCCCCCAACCACATCTCCCACAAGCCCTTCCCTGTGTGTTAGCATGAGGTTGAGCAGCACACCATTCCTTGAGGGATCCTCGACTCCCTGTGACAGAAAGTTGTCACCAACACTTTCCAGGGATCTCCTGGACTGTTTGTGCTTTGCTGTGTAGCTTCTCCAGCTGATATCCAGGTAGTCCCCCACCAGAACCAGGGCCTGTGACTTTGAGGTTGCTTCATCCAGTTCCTCCTCCTGCTCATGTGGCTTGGAGCAAACACCCACAGCAATGTCACCCTTATTAGTCTGCCCTGTCATCTGAGCCCATAAGTTCTGGACTAACTTGTCATCCACCCCAAGACAGAGCTCAACACATTCCAAGTGTTGCCACACACAGAGGTAACTCCACCACCACACCTGCCTGGTCTGTCTTTCCCAGTGTGCAGCCCTTCATGCCAACATTCCAGTTACACCAGCTATCCCACCACATCTCTGCAAACCCGGTGAGATCAAAGCCCTGTGACTGCACACAGATGGTGCCTGGAGAGCCTGACAAGAGCAGCACCTTCCCAAACAACAGAACCCCATGTTGTTTTCCCAGGCTGCCATGACTTGGCAACTCCACTGGTCATTAGGTCCCTCCCTCTGGAAGGGAACAAAGGTTTACAAACAACCAGTATCATGCCCAAGCAGCTCTGCTGAGCAAAATCACTGCAGCAGAAACCACAAATAAAGCTGAAGAGTTTTGCTTAAACAGCCAAGGGAGGGGAGGCCTCTTGTGCTCAGCTCTGCAGCAAAGATACTGGGAAATTCAGTATAAAGTGTTTCAGGGTTTTCCAACACACAGTATTATTAGGATGAAAAGCCCTACTTGACATTCCTGCTAGGATGTCGGCTCCAGCTACAGGCAGGGAAGAAGGGAAGGGAAGGAAAGTAAAGGGAAGGAACATGTTGCCTGTGTGCAAACAAGTAAAAAGTTAGACCTGAACAGGCACAAGGAACGAGACAAAAAAGCAGAATAAAGCATCTTCCACCTTGAAAACAAAAAAAAAAAGTGACACACAGAATTGAGACACAAGTGCAGAAACAGAAGAACTGAACAAACATCAAAAAGATACATCACTGGGTTAATTTTCAGAAATTTACTAAAATGCACACAAGAGATTTATCACAAAACCAGTTGAACTCCACTGTATTTCAACAATAGGTTTATTTTAAGAAACATAACATGACATTAAGTAAAAATGCAAAATTGTGCAATTATGGCAAAATGTTTAAAAATCCACACATTTGCCCTCATAGGACTACAGTACTTCTTACTAACATACCTGAGCACTGAATGTTGGATGCCACTTCTCAACAGCCTCGCGAACAGGGAGCTCTTCGATCTCTTGTAGAACATACACTGCATGTCTGGTGCACCAAAACTGCTTTGAGTTATTCTAGAGTTTACTGACGGAATCAAGTGGAAGTTACAAAATGTTTCCTTCTAAAGTTAACTAATAATTCTGGAAAAGAGATTTACACTCACCTAGGTCCTTACAACGCTAGAGATTCATGTCATAAAGGGAAATAAACGAATGCAGAAAAAATACCAAATGGGCAAAATGTACAGATTACTGTTCAAATATTACCAGTACCTTTGGTGCAATTATTTTTTTTTTTGTTTGTGCTGTGCAAGTTTACTTAAGCCTGACCCTAAAGCAAACCTTTACCAGGAATCTGACTTTCAGCAAAACGTAGAAGCATTTAAGAATTGGCAAAATGTCACAGCTACATTACTGTCTCAACAAACTCCTCATGCAAAAGATTTAGTATATTCTACTCCCACGGCAAGTTCCAGGATTTAGCTTTCAAACACATGACAGACTTGGATCACACCCTCAGTTTGAATGGTTAAACAGAATGGAGATCTTCGTACTTTAGTGCAGATAAACAAAATTAACAAACCTACTGCAGAATTAACCACAGCATATTGTACTTCTATACATCACATGACCAGTCAACTGCTAACTCAATCCTATTTCATAGTTTCAAGTAATATATTGAAATTTGTTCTACTAAATAAATATAGATTGTCAAAAAGCAGCAAGAAATCTTGTAAATATTCAACCAAGCTTAAAAAAAAAAAAAAAAACAAACCAAAAACAAAAACAAAGAAACAAGGAAAAAGCTCCATAACACTTTGCAAAAAAAATGGTCTTACACACAAATGCAACACTTGTTAGGGAGGGTGCTTCAGAAAGCTTGCAGCTAGAGGCCTACAACAGCGCAAAGAGAGCTAGCCAAGGACTAAGGATCATTTTAAAAATTAAATTAGTTGTACTCTTCAAAAAACCTCTTATTCTTGGCTACGCATATATATATATAAAACTATCCAGAAGAGAACTAAACAAAGGAACAATACACCTCAACACTGTTGGAAAATGCAGCCTTAGCGAGAATTGCCAAATTCAGGACAAAAAGAACCACAGGTGCTCGCACTGGAGAGAAGCGTTTGGTGAATCTCCGGAAGATGAGGTATGTAATGCAAAGAGGCATTTTTATTTTCCTTTTCATTTCACAGTTTTTTGTTTGTTTGTTTTGTGGGTTTTTTTTTTTTTTTCTTTTTAGACATTTTGTGCAAGAATTAAGAAATAGAACCAGGAGAGTATTTTCGTGTATTAGAAAGATTCCATTCGGGAACAGTAAGACCACATAGTAAACAAACATTATCCAAATCCTCAGCCATGCCAGGGGGATAAACAATGAGCTAAATATTTGGCTGACTGAAATGTCAGCTGTTAAGTCAGATAGTGGTAAGCACTTACAGCCAGTGATGGCCAGTGCCATGTGAAGTTAACTGGTTTACTTAGATCAGTTGGAGAAAATAGGAAAGAGTAAGATAACTTACAGCTCTGCAAAAATTAACAAATTAAACCTGGCAAATTACAGCTGATACAAGTTTTAGAATTCATCTTTTCCCTTTTAAATCCAGTTTTCACTACTGAAGTGGAGGCTGAACTTTGAACTTATTTACTTCTTAAAAATAAGCTAAAAAATAACAAAGTGTTGTAATACATTGGATGCTTATTCTGTATTTTCTCTAAGAGTATTTAAGCCATGGACATTTATTGTCAATTTTGCTTTAATACACTGGATAATGATGACAGCTCAGTAGTGCAATTTTTCACATTATAGATCAGAATGGAAGAGAAGATATCTGAGGGCTTGACTGCAGAGAGAAAAGAAAAACAACTTGTGAAGTTAAGCCACACTTTTCCAAATCACTGGAGCACATGCCAACTCTGCACACAGCACTGGACTTTAGTGGAGACAGAATGAACACTCCACACAAAAAGAAAAAAACCCAAAGAGAACCAGTACTATTAAGGCCATATCCTGTCACCACTCTGTGCAAGAATACCACTGCAGTAAAAATGTTATGTTAGAAAAGACAATCTGATGACAGGACAGGGCCTGAAGACAGACACACACTGCATGAAAAATAACAGGCTGTCTTAAACAGTAGCAGAAGGCTGGCCCATTTCAGACAAACAAGTATTAAAAATGTACTAGCACCATCAACTTTTGGGTTAAAGCCCTTTATGGGATGAAAAAAAGGTTTTAATCAGTGTTAAAAAAAAAAAATAATGTTTTTACAGCACTACAGCTACGTGGCAAAAAACAGGTGTGGGATTTTTTTTCCCCCCCCCCACTATCATTAAGCTCAATTTTAACAAAAGTCCACAGACAACAAGTGGTACAACAATAGGAACAGGCCTCCATCCGGGGCTAAAGTACTCCACAATCCAGTTCTGACTGAGCTTTTCTCCCAAATTGTAGTGCACAAACAAATCACAAACATCTCAGAGGACTTCAAAAACAGTACAAAAAGAACAGATCATTATGAATCAGGATCTACCATTCCTATGTATGTACTTTCAATCTAAAATTAAAAAAAAAAAAAAAAGCAACAAAACTTAGTGATATTGCCTCAAATTTTACCCGTATTAAAAAAAAAGAGAAAAAAAAAAGAAAAGTCACTTCGACACATCTTGGACATCCTTAGCTATTAATGCTAGATTTTCTTTCACTGTAGTGCATAGTTATCCTGGCTCTTCCACTTAATTTGCTTTTACCACCAAAACACCCCTCTAGTATGACATGATTAAGTGTTTACCAGAAAAAAAAAAAATGCTGATAATTGCACTTTGTAACCTCCTTCTCATTTCCCAGGAAGATATCAGTAAATACGAAACTGAACCAGCAATTCCCTCCCCAGACTGCAACCTTTAAAGAGCACCCATCCCCACAGACAAAAAACTGTCTGTTTCAGCTTACAATAAATACTGACAGAATTTCTTTGTTTTCTTTTAAGACATGTTTTCTCTAGCATCAAATTACCACTGAAATCACTAAGGCCTGTTACCGAAGAGAAAAAAAAAACCAAAAAAAAGAAATTTAAATAACTTTCTGAAGACACTGCGGATACAATTTAGCAACAACACATTCAAAATGCCGGCCTAGATCCCAGAGCTTGTCTGGAGTCTCGTAGACTTTCTGCCACTGGTCAGTAACCTCATCGTACTGGTAGAGAGAATTCTTCCTGCTGGTTCTGAAAACGTGTTCTTCAACAGTGACTTGAGTAGCTCTGACAAACAGATGGAGTTTGTTTTTGAGGAGTACGAGTTTTATGTATGGATTAATGGACTGGTCACACGGGAAGTCTTTTTTTCGAGTCCACTTGTTCTGCTCGATGTCGTAGGCCTCCACGGTGAACATGCGCTGATGGTTCCCACAGGTCCCAGCTATGTAGTAGATGGAGTCGTTGTACACCGTCGCCAAGCCTTGGAGCCGAGGCACAGTCATGGGGGTCAGAAATCCCCAGTAATCCTTCTGAGGATCGTAGCAGAGAAAAAATTCCCCTGAAAAGAGAGAGGAAAAATAAAACATAACTTACGCTTCGTTTCCAGACCAGCAGTGCTGGGGCCATCAAGCTTTCAGGTGCTTTCTTCCACAGACAGAAATGCTCTTCCCATAACGAACACTCACTCCCAGCACCATCACCTGCTTTCCTTCAAGTGCATTGCAACAATATTAACATCATGAGTAAAAACTACTTTGAATTTCTCTTCCAGTGGTAGAAAAGGGAATTTGAAGCTCATCAAAACCACAATGTTTTACATATTTCCTAGCTACCCTTTATTCCTTCTAAACCATGCTTATTAATTCGGGACAAAACCTTTCAAGATTGCAGTCTTGAAATGTCTGAAGTACATTTGTTCCACTCTTTAACATCTTCACAACGTGTCATCTACAGACTGGGGAGTCTCAGAATTCAGTGCTTAAAGCTGCTAAACCTGAGCAAATAACTGTGCTTTGTACTTCACACAGATCTTGAAGCTACTCATATGAAGTGGTCAAGTTACACATTTAGGCTGATTTGCTTAAAAGGAGGCCAGGTGAATCCCTGCATGAAGGTTCTGATTCATTGTTAGCTTTGTGATGAGGTCATAAAGCACCTCTGCTGTTCACTGCTCAGAGCAGCATAATGGAAGTTCAGCATTCCTTTTTAACCACCTAATGTCTCTTTGGCTCAAGAGAGAGAGACATTGAGAGAACTTGTGAATGCAACAGATTCATTTAAAGCCACAACCAACAAGAATCAAACCTGATAAAGAAACAACGGAAGAAAACTCTCTGTAAATCACATGAAAGCCCAGGAATGCAAAGTCAAGAAATCAGGCTGACTTTCTCTGGTAAATAACAAGGACCTTACAGTATTCCCTATCCTGTTTCTTTCCTGTGGTTCAGCTTAGTATGGAAAGTGACCCAAAGAGGGAGCTGGTATGGATGCAAGAACCCAGCTTCTACAGGTGTTTACAGAGGTGGTAACTGAGACACCACCTCCTCTTCCTTTCTTTCTTTCCACTTTCTGGGTCTCTTACCACAGCCCCACAGACCAGTCTCAGCACTTTTCAGAGTTGGCTGTGTATGGCTCATGCACACACTCAAATACATATTTTATGTAACATCTCCATAAGTAAAATAAAGGGAAGAATAAATTATTTGATCCATTGCCATAATGATCTTTTTTATTCATTCAAGAATCAATATCTAATACACCAATAAGTCTGATCACTTACCAGAAGGAAGGATGTAAAGGTAGTAGTGTAATTACTGACCAAAGAAACAGAGCTAATTAAGAATGACAATTTATCTCTTTCTAGTTACTAGAATGATTTCAGAAAGCAGAGCAGGGCAGGAAACAAAGACCTACAGACCTAACAGTGGTTAATTGACTTTTACAAGTCACCAAAAACACAGACACCAGGAACTCCCACAGCTTTAGCCCAATAAAATGTAAAATGCTTTTTTATGGGACAGTATCTTTTCTCCAACACTAGCACATTTCACCCAGGTAAAGATTTAATACAGAATTTTCACAGAAACATTTTATACTGTTGACTTAGAACACCAAAACTGCCATTTGTGCAATAACTCAACACAATTTACTGACACGTTTCCAGGGCATGAGAATTCAAGCAGCAACCTCCCTCTTTCTTGCCCACTGCTCTCCCTAGTTTTCCCCCACCCCAGTGCCCCAGGGGTTTTTCCAAGGTGCTTTAGAGAGCACAGAGATTGAAAACTCCCCACTTCCAACAAAATGCCACAGTCAGCCAAACCACCTTACCCTGTAAAACATAGATGTTATCCTTATATTCCACAGCACTGTGAAACTCCATTGCCACAGGCATGGGACAGACAGCTGTCCAGCAGTTCTCCCGGCTGTCGTAGCACTCCACAGACTTGAGGGAGTTCCTGCCATCTCCTTCATAGACTCTCCCCCCAATGGCATACAGCTTTCCACAGCAGTGAACCAGCTTGCAGCCTATCCTGGCTCGCAGCAAAGGAGCTTTTGGAAGCCACCTGTTGCCAGAGTGATCGTACATCCAGAAATCACTCTCCGCTCTGTGGTCGATGGAGACCTCGCTGCTGCTCGGTCTGTAACCACCCGCAATGTAAATATCGTTGTCAGGAGACACGAGAATTCCGACCTCCCTCAAGTCATTTGGTGGCTTGCATAGTTTAAACACTCTCCCTGTGACCGAATCGAAACAAGGCACTGTTTGCTTCTTTCCTGAGTGTTTGTGGGCAGCATCAAAGCATATGATCATTTCAGAAGCGGTCATTCCAAGCCGTTGTGTGTAGCCATTGGCACTGGGTTGTCCCTTTTGTACACAGCTTTTGGCCATCGCCTGTGCAAACATGGGAGGGATTTTCTCTAAAAATGTCTCTTCCAACAGAGGCATACGGATGCATTTGGCAAATATTTCTGGAAGGTGCACTTCTCTCTTATTTTGTTCATGCTCAAACCACCTTATAATGCTGTCATAAACGTGTTCTTCTTTGTCTACATTTAAATCATCACTGTTGAGGATACTTATCAGTTGGTCTTTTCTCAACTGAAGAAACTCCTGCTCTTTGGTGACACTCAGAAACTTTTTACGAATGTAGTCTTGTGACCTGTCCTTGAGTTCCTGATGACCATAGTGATCAGCGAAGATAAACACCCCGATGGAGTTCTGTGGGTCCAAGTGACTAATCATGTATTTAGCACACTGGTCTTGTATGGAAGGGATCTGGAAGATACTGGCTGCAGTGAACAAAGCTTGGACGTTGGCCTCTGTCAGCACTACTCTGGAGGTATATGCATAGTTCAACACTAAATGCATTGACTCTGCTTCCACACCAACTATCCGAACTTCCTTCTGGGTGCTCTCGGTAAGGCCGCTCGTGAACATCGATCTGCAGAGGAAACACATCCAGCAGTTTATCTGGAATTACCTCCTAACTACTGGTATGAAATTAAATTACACTGTACAGCTGATCCCAGGGCTCTTGTCTTCACATCAGCCCAAATACATTTATTACAGGTGTTACAGGTACCCACACAGGACAGTTTAAGACTGTCTGAACTGTCTGACAGTTCTAGACTGACTGAAACAAAAGAAGTGAGCTGGAACTTCTTGCCTAATAATTATCTCACTAACCCCATGCTAAAATTCACTGAGTTTACAAGCAAAGCTCTTGACATACCACCCTGAGTCTTAGCACTCAACTTTCAACAAGTTGTTTCATATGCATACTCCAGAATGTTAAAATATGTAACTTTAAAAGAAAACAATTGGAGGTAGTTTTGTTTGTTTTACAGCTGTGTGACATTTTCTCCAACGAGACCTTCCTTGACACTCAGACACTGATAATTCATTGACATTAAGAGAACAATAATGTTTACTTGCTAGGATCTATAATTACACAGAATATTAGTATAGGTGCAGGGGTTTTTAATTTTCATTTAACAAAAATAAGCTCTAATTCTGCTTTGATTGCCACTAGAGCAATGGATTGTCATACCTGAAATAAGGACTGATTGCAGCAAGAACATTCCTGTGACAAGAGAATGTTTTCCCATGATCCACTTCCACCACAATATCTGTCAGCTGTCCTTCATCATACATGGTCTTCAGCTGTTGCAGGATACTACAGGCATGGAAGGGGTCCATTCCACTGCTGACTGGGTTTGAGGGAGGAATTCCGTTCAGTGTTTGTGAAAACTGACTTGGTTCTATAAAGCAAAATCAAAACTGTTTAACAAAAAACAACCAACAACAACAACAACAAAAAAACCCAACCTTCAAAAGAATTCACCACATGCCAAATAACCCCATGCGTGACCAAGAATCAGCACAAATTTGTTCCGTAGTTCCTCAGTGTCAACAGCCATCAACAGCAAGTCTAACATTTTCAGGGGTAAATATATATATTTTTTTCTTTTCACAGTGTAGATGTCAGTTGCCATTAGCCCATGAAATTATATTCATTAATGTTAAGGAAAATAATACAAATATTTCATATTTGTGACACTTCACTGGAGATGGGGGAAATCAAGTCAAGACTCACAATGCTTATTGACTTATAAAATGAAAAAAACAAAGAATGCAGAGGAATAAAATAAGTCCACAACCTACCCCACCATTACACAAGTCTGTATGTAAATATTTAACTTCACACCGAAACAGGAACTGCCTCCTGCCTTACACAAGTGATGGTTTGAGCACAGACTCATGAAGAAACAGCCCTACAATAGGTATATTGGGCAACAAACTTAAACTCACAGAAATTTGTATCTACAGTTACATGCTTTTCTCTATAAATAAAATACAATTATCATTTAAAATTGCCCAGGTATGAAGGAGTTCACATATCACTGTGGAAACGTATTTAGTGGAGCATATGCTGCTAAACAACATGTGATAAGCCTAATGAAGTAAATCCCAAAGTGAAAATTGAGCAATAGCTCAAGCACAAAAATCCGTTTCGTAAGAGCGACAAAATTTTTACGCAACAACAACAACAACAAAGGAAAGCCCAAAAGAAAAACATTAGGTGGCAAGAGCTGCAAATCAGGTAAAGCTGCTGACTTGCAACAGAGAGAGCTTCCAACAAAATTTGGGAAACACAACGGGGAAACGAGGAGAGAGACCAGCGATGATGAATGGGAGATTTAAACTCTAACTCGTGGTGACACACAGCAGCTGCAATTTCTCTTATGCAGAATTCAGACACAGCTTCCAGCACAGCCACAATAAACCAGGAGGGATCTGCTGCTGGGCACCCATTTCCCACAGCAGCACTGAGGCCAAACATCATCAGTGTCTCTTCAAAGTATGGTTAGAAAAAGTCTTCAAAACACTTGTTTATTTCTTTTTTTTTTTTTTTTCAAATAAACCGGTAAATAGTCAAAGGTAAAATCTATGACAGGAGAATTTCCTTATCCTTACTGATAATTTCAAAGTTTCAAACATTTGAAACTAACCAATCATTAGAGAGGGGGAGAATTTGTACTTGTTAAAAAACAATGTTAATCACTAGTTGCAAGTAAATAACACTTTTCTAGGTCAGTTCCAAAGCGTCCTACCTAGCAAAGCTACAAGAAAACTTTGATGTATTTACTGTTGCACAAGAGTTTCAGTTACTTTCTAACAGCGAAAAAGATGAAAAATTGTTCTTCTCTGACCGTGGTAGTCACTCAGGCAACGAGCTCGTTATCAGGGCAGCTTCCAGTGCTGGGAACACTCATCCTCCTATTCCAGTTTTTCTATTTAGTCCTTGACACGTTACAGCTTTCACCCCATAAAACATCCCCAGTCGCTCTGATCAACTTCATTTTCTCCCTTCCACCCCAAGTGCCTTTTTTCCTCTATTAACACTCCTCTCGTTCGCACCTCAAAATTTTAACTCTGCCCCTCACGAACATCACCCCAAAACACTCTCCGCATTAATTTATGAGTCGCTCCTCCTCTCCCCACACACCCATTTTCACAGAAGCCTTTCACCAACCCCAGCTGAACTCGCCTCACACCGCGGGGGGGTCTCTCACAGGACCCCTCCCCGCCCCCCTCATACAGCACAGCCCCTCACACACACTCTTTCTTCTCACAGAATTCTCCTCCGCCCCTACACCCCTCACCCCGGGACCCCTCACAGCCCCCCCCATCCCGCACCCCCTCACACGGTGCTCCCCCCGCCAGCACAGGCCCAAACCCCCTCACCGCCGCCCCCATGCACCCCTCACCACACAGGCCCCGACACCCCTCCCCGGGCCCCCCCCGCCGCCCCGCACGGACCTCCCAGCGCTGCCATCCTGGGCCCCGCTCGGGCAGCGGCTCCGGGGGCGGCCCGGCAGGAAATGTCACCGCGCCGCTTCCCCGCCGGCACCGCGCGCACCCCGCAGCATCGGCCGCGCCGATTGGCCGTCGCCCCCGCCGCCTGCCGGGAAATGTAGTGCGGACCCGCCGCCCGCGGCGCGCGGAGCATGCCGGGATCTGTAGTCCCTCTCGGGCGAGATGCCTGGGAGTTGTAGTTCCCTAGGGGGCGGGCTCTGCCCGTCGCGTAGCAACGAGGCGGCGCCTCCGGGCGAGCCGCCATTTTGGGCCCTGGGGCAGAGATGTGAGGGCACCTCCAGCGCCTTGTTCCGGAATGTTGGAGCCTGTTCCCTGCTGACCGGCTGAAATGGCCTCTCCACGTAAATAAATTATCTCCCAATTCCTGCAATTCTTCTGTCCACGCTGAGTTGCAGCTCCTGGGGCAAACCCTTCCAAAGAGGAGTGAAGGTGTCACTCAGAGATGGCTGCCCAGCAGGTTGGGCAGAGCTGCCAGCACCATCAGTGATGAAAACACACAGAAAAGGGGAAAAGAAAATACCTGCAAACGTCCTAATGCTGCAAGGATGCAGTGAGGGGCAAGGCAGTGACTGGAAGTGAGAACCAGAGCTGCGTGAGGCTGAATTGACCTTTAATGAAAACCAATAATCAGCTGCTTAGTCTGAAAGCTCGTCGTGCCAGGAATATTCTTTATTTCCCCAGGGTTTGTTCCCCCAACACGCTGTGGGCAATCACACAGCCGTACCCATCCCACAGAGAGCAGCTGAACAACTCCAGCACACAAGCGACCATTTTGTAGCCCGTGACCTTTAATATCAAAAGAACATTTTTCTCTCCATCCCAGGGGTCAAGGGGATGATAGTCACCAGCTTTTGCAGTTTTCTGCAGCAATTAGGCACTGGTCTCCTTCTTGGGGACTGAGACATTATCAGACGTTTGCTGTGGAAGAGGTTTGGGGGTTTTTTTCTGTGCGAAATCAACAAAAGAATTAAATAAAGGAAGTATTGCGAAGTCCTGTATGTTTCTGTGGGTTTACTCAGAACAGATTTAACGCAATTTCACAGCTTTTAGCTGGGAAGTTTTGCTAGAGAAAATAAAAGCAAACAAAACCAATTTAAATAATATTTTTAAAATAAACTCCCCTTTAGCCCTCAGAAATAGTAGCCTCCATACATGACCAGTGCTGTAAAGCAGATGAATTTAAAGGCAGTGCCATCTGACTGGGTTTACTTTCACTTGCAAGGCACAGCCTTCCCCTCGCTCAGCAATTATCAGCGGTGTCCAGGCTGCTGTCCATGATAATGCTGCACAACTCAGGGGTGATGGAGGCCCTGATGAAGGAGGTGTAAAAGAAAATAGAACTTCACGTCTGCAAATCGATTCTGCAGTTTTCCAATTTCCCCATTCGGCAGCGGCACGGCCTGTGAAATTGTCCCTAGAAATATAAAACGAAGGGCCGGAGAATTCCTCCACTCTTGCCTTTTAGCAAATGACATTGCCTGATACAGTTCATTTCCTTCGGCGTGGGTGCGTGGGCCGGGCTGGATGAGCGTTCAAAATGCAGAAGTCAAATGTAGAATGTTTTTTAATACAGATCCCACACTGAACAAGCACTTTGGAGCACAAGCTTTTCTCAAAATAGCTTATCTTTGTATGTTTTCTGGTGGAGCAAATAAATTGCCATACAAATAGGTTTAGATGTGCTTTAAGAGGCTTCAATAGCAGCATTTTCACTTGGACTGAAAGTGTAATAACACCATCACCCCCTCCCCTCTATGGAAACCTCCATTAGAACTCCCAAGCACTCAGAGGGTGTAGAACTGAGAAGCATTCCCATGGAAGTCCAGGGATCTGGATTCCCTGCCCTACTCTGCATATTATTCACTGAATTTCTGAAGGGCAGAGTGAGACGTGTTGTCTGTGCAAGTTGCTCTGAAATCCGTGGAAGTCACACCCCATGTTAAAGCTTCATATGACAAATGGCAATTGCATTACACACAAATATTTCTGTTTTTCAGAAATTACAAGATGCTTGAAGAGTTCCATCTCCCTTTCCTTCTGCTGCATCCTTCTCTCTCCTGATATTGTTTAGTCAGGGAAGCAATGAAGGCCCATATTTAGTGCAGAAGTAAGAAAATTGGGCTTTCAGCTTGGTGCTGCTACTAATTTACTGCATGCTGTTGATCAAGTAATTTGATTTCATGGATTTGGGCTTGCCAGAAGACAACAGGGAGCTGTGAATAGATTTATTCATGTAAATTCCTTTATCTTGTAATATTTTTTGGTATGTATTTTAATAATTTTTGGGACTTTTTTTTTTAATTCTTCTGGTCAGCAAAGCACTGAAACTATTGGTACCATTTTCCAATTTTGCAAGAATTTGAAATCCTTGTTATTGAGGGTCTGGGATTCTTGCACTTATGCTTTAATTTCACACCTAATTTATCATTCCTGAAGATAAAGCTTGAAAACATATAGCTGAAAACACTTGGTGGAGAAATTTTCCCACTTGATATTCCAAAGATTCAAAATAAAATTTAAGTAATATCAACTGATAAGAAACAGAGTCCATGTCTGTCTTTTATAAGTGACTAGAAACATTGCCCCCCTTATGAACTCAGAACTGGCACTGCATGTTCTGGGATTCCTGCCTTCAGAATAAAGAATGTCTTTGTCATGAGCCCAAGAAAGGAGTGAAAGGAAAAAATTTCAGGACAAAATACAAACTTTTTCAGATATTTGAGAACTTGAAAGATAGCAGAGAAAGGAAGGGCCAACCTACCCACGCACACACCATACAGCCCAAATGGAGGAAACTAAGGGCTGCAGAAGCTTGACAAGACTTTCATGGAAACATTAGAAAGGTGGCATTTTTCATGACTCCCGAGTTTACAAAAAAAAAACACAACCAAACTCAAACCAAAGCCCAAACAAAAACAAACAAACAAAAACTCACAAAAACAAACACAAAGGAACAAAAAAAACCCCACCAAAATAACCTACAAACTATAAAATTTAACTATAAAATTTAAATACAATACTACTAAAAAAAAAGTAACATTACTTGCTATCTCTCAAGTATGTCTCAATTACTATTTACCATTCTTCAGTTACATGTACCTGTTAATTTGTGCTGTGACTCTGTGAGGAATAATAGAGCTGATGCAGCTTCACTCCCAAAACCCCTCATATTTTAATTGGAAAAATCTTGGTATTCACTGTGGAACAATCTAACCTTGAAAAACAATCTTTTACCAGTTGGTCTTTAATGCATAAAACACTGCTCATTTTCTGCAATTCTGTCACCAAGGGGCACATTAATTTAGTTGCACAATAATTTAATACATCGATCCATTGATTGAAGCAGAGAGATTTTTGCTTAGCGGTTCCAAGAAATCCACACAGTTCTTGCAGAATCCGTAAAAAGACAGTTCTGGCTGTGCTTTAAGTAGGGGGAATTGGGGATCATTAGGGAAAGTTGCCCTTCAAAGCCGATCGATCCCGCCACACTGAGCACAGTGGGCATTACATCAGAGGAGAGGCAAGAGTGGCAGGGGGCAATTAATGGGGCAGATATGGGAGTGCCTTTCCTGATTACCCCATACCGGACAGTGGATTCGACCTTGCTGAGCCAGGCTGGTAGAAACAAGAACCCCGATGAGATATGGCTCTGTTAATGTCAAGAAGTGCCACTTCCGAGCAGCAGGAGCAACTTTATTGGAGCCATCTGTTGTTTTGGAAGACACGTGTGCACACACACACACACACGCACTTCCTCTTCCCAAAGCGTTTAACCTTTCTCTTAGGGCTGAAATCGCACGGCTAATCCCTCCTTAATCTCGGAATGACGGGCTCTGCTGCTGTCAGTGAGTCCCGGCAGCTACTGAAAATCGGGGGTACTGGCGTCGTTTGGGTGACGTGACAGTGATGCATCCTGGAGCAGCCACTTGAGAACAAAATGCCCATTCATCCACTGTCAAAATAAAGTTTAGCAAGAGCAGTGTGTGATTGCTGGGAGCCTGACAGAGAAGGCTGGGGAACCTGTGTAGAGGTGAGAAATCTGCACTCTGCCAGATCTCACTACTCTGCCCCACACAGGGAGAAGGAAAAGGCGGCTGAGTTTGGTCCCAGTGGCAACCTGATTTTTCAGCAGGTATAACCCAATGGCTATCTCAAAGGAAACAGCCCTGTTTCAGTTACAGCAGAGTGTGAGCTCTGTCCTGACTTGTCAAGTCTCTAGTGGTATTTTTGTGAGGATTCTTCCTTAACACACCAGAACCCTCAAGCTTCTCATGGCTGTGTTAGAGGTGTGCACCAGAGCCCAGGCTGCAGACAGAAAATGTGGCACTGCCGAGCATCCACTGAGACAGAATTAGCTCCAGCTTCTTTGCAGGTAACCTATTTCTGTTAGTATTTCATGCACATCTGTGCATGTCTTATTTATTATTTCTAAAAGTGGGGTTTAAAAGCTCTATTTAAGAAATCACCAGCTTCCCAGCTCTTTGGAACGAACACTGCATATAAGACCCAGAGTCCACAGAATTCCTCTTACCAGTAAACATGACCCATATCCTTCAGGCTTCTTGGTCACTGGAAAATAAACCACATAAGAAGAAGAAATTATGCCCCATCCAGAGTGGGAAGAGGCAGGTTTTTGTCCTTGTCTCCAGTATTTGAACAAGTGGTTCAATCTCATCTCGAGACCCTTCTGGCTACTTCTTCTCTACTTCAGAGGGCCCAGGTCAAACAGACCCTTGCAGTGATGGAAGAGGTAACATCAGAGAAGAACAAGGACTTCTTGCTGCCCTTTCTTTCCTCCATCCATATTTACTTCTACCTACATGTGTGTGTGTTATTAAAACTCTGCATCTTACATGGACAAACCCATACTGGCCTCCACAGAAATATGTCACTGGTGGCCTGACCAGCTCCAACAATTAAGAGCTGGGACTTTAAGGCACTGATGTAGTTGCAAACTGATCCCAGTGTGGTCAGAACATGATTCAGCTCTGAGAAAGGTGCAGGCCCTTCCCAAAGAGCACAGA